GTGGTGTGATCGAATTAAAACAATCTGCTTAAAAACCCGCTGAAGAGAGAGGCTGGCTCTGTAATCTTTATTCAAGCCGAGCTACACCTTCTTTACGGAAATAAACCCCTTGAGGGTGATGAGAAGGGACAGTGCCTTGGCAGGAGGACACGCAGAGCCCTGCGTGCCGGTGCTGCAGGCAGGGTGTTTTGGATGGGACCCTGGGCTCTGGGTGCTGTGCCCGGAGGTTTCAGCCTGCTGTTCAGAGAACCCCGCACTTCGGCTACGAACAGATATGAAATCCAAAAGATGTATCGTGGTGCGAAGGGGGATTCTCAGCTCAGTCGGCGCAGGGCTGCCCGGGCGGGCAGCGGAACGCCACAGGCGCAGCGCCTGGCTCTGGGGTGGCGTGTGAGGCTCCGCCAGCCGCCTGTCCCTGCATCCAGGACGCCTCGGCTCTGCCGCTGACACTGTTAATGACTTCCCTTAGTTGCAGTCTCGCAGGGTCTTTTTGTAGCCTAATTTTTACCGTGTGTTACCCGTTTTCTGCATTGTTCAGGTTACCCAGTGCACTGGCTAAGTAAGAGCTTAACAGCCTTTTAAATGGGGTTTGTTGGTGTTCAAGATCATTCTTAGTCAAAATCTGTATGAAATAAATCCTACCTGGAGAGGCTGGGAACAGCCAGCCATGCTCATCAAGCGGCTCCATCTGAGGGCTCTTATAAATGGCACTTGGGCGATTTTTGGTGGAAACTGTTGTTCAGAGTCTCCAATAGAAATATTCATGTTATACCGTGTTTAAACAGTATCATTTTTTTAAATCTTCAGGATTGTAATAAGTGGTTTTGGTGCATGTTACTGCACAGAAATGACTGTGAAAATTACTAAGTTCTAAAATTTAAAAAGAGAACTGAATATTTGAACCTTTCCTGGTTAGATTTTTTTTTTTTTTTTAAGCTTTATTAAATTAAATTAAGAAATTACCTACTGGCTCATCTTTTAAAGTCACTCTTTGTTGCTTTTCAGGAAACCCCAAAGGTGCTATGCTGACTCATGGGAACGTGGTTGCTGATTTTTCAGGCTTTTTGAAAGTGACGGAGGTGAATACCCTGATTTAGAAAATGTTGCCATGTGCAGAGCGTGTGGGTTAAGCTGTGGCCCTGTGCGGGCTGGAAATGTGTTCCTGCAGATAAGAGGTGAAATTTCTCTTACTCAGAGGGCCAAATCTATGGAAATGGGAGCAAGTCTGAGCTTACAGCACTGGAGGGCATTAAATCCCCTTTCCAGCACTGGCTCCGCGGCTCTGTAGGGCTCAAAGTGCTTCTGAAGAGCAATGTTGGCTCCTGTAAATCAATTAACTCCTTTCAAAGAATTAGGAAAGCAAAGAAGCCCTGTACAGTTGCAGCTGGTGCTTGAAAAAGAGTGCAGGTGTCCACTTCTAAGGATGCCCACACAATGTCCTCAATTATTTGAAAGCTTTCTGCATATGAAGTGTATATGAGAACATGTACATTTTTGCAAGAACGGCTAATTTAATTGATATTAAAGTATATCTCGGTTTCCATTATGCATATTTTTTAAAAAGCATAGCACTGGCCAAGTACACGTATAACATGTTTCATGTAATGTGTAAACTTGTGTTTAGAAACAGTATAGGAAGCAGAATTGCTTTAGCACAACATAATAAGGATTTTATGCAGCTTGTACCTAACCAATATAAAGAATCCATTTTTTTGGTAATAAACAGGGAATTCTATAAAGCAGCGATGTACACATGGGATGGACAATTTGTTACCTTATACCCCTTGCTGGTCTTATCGTTGGTGCTGAAAATACTGCCGTCTTATTACTTTAATCCTTGCCCTTTCTGAGATTTCCACAGCACTGTTGTAAAGAAACTTGGACACGTGTTGTGAGAAATCCCACTGAACTCACACGTTCAAGTATTTGCAGGGCTGAAACTCCAGTAATTTGCAGTACGAGACGTCAATACAGCAGTTTGTATTGACGAGCCCTCGGAACTGCCGCTGGCTGCAGAGGCGGCGGGATGCACAAACGCAAGCTGATGCGTAGGTACGTCTGAGCTTCAAAGGGCAGGAACGTTTATTTTGGAAGGGAACTGATTTAGAGGAAGCTGAGGGAACATGGTATCTTCCAGGACTGGCCTACAGAAAAGGATTTAGCTTTCACTAGTGGCAATGGGACCCTTTGCTTAATCCCAAAGGTATCTGACTGAGGCATGAGTCTGGTGTAAGTGGACGTAAATTCAATAGCTTCAGCCACCAGAGTATTGTTGGCGAGCGTAGAAGTGCCCGTAGCCAATCCACACGATTAGGGCAATGGCTAACCGCAGTGATGAAACGGAGCAAAGCACCAAATACTTGATAGTAGTATCAATTAAGAAAATAAAAACACCCGAAGCTGAGAAGTACCGTAGGTTTGCTGTTTACATACTCTTGTGCCAGTTTTGCTTAGTTCAGTGATTTTTATAAATGGAACATTTTTTGAAGTGAACCTAGAGCTTTATTATAAGGTTGTCCTCAAATGCCAAGAAGCTGTTTTCATTTTTACGTTTAGCTGGACAACTGTGCCAACTGTGGAATATTATTCAATGTCATCATTTTGGTCTTATTTAAAACCATATCATTTATTGTCTGGGCACTTAAAGCAGATTAGAAAAAAAAAAAAAGCAGCCTAGCTAGTGATGCTAATGGTTCTATATTACTGTGCTTGCAGAAAATAAGGCCAATTTGAAATAATGTATAAATAGAACTGCAGGCCCTAATGGCTTAATTCAGACTGACACATAAAATAATATGAAATGGGATGCTGAAAACAGCCACGTGGTCAATCATGTTTGACTTCACTAGCTAATGGTTGGGAGGGCATACCCAAATCTGACTTGCCCAGGTTTAACTTCAATAAAATATTCCCCGAGGAAGAAACTCCTGTGCCTCCATCCACTGCCGTGTCCCAGGTCACGGACTATCGATTCTGTCACAGCCGCGGAGATGCAAAGTGGGTATAAGCTGCTAATACTGTGAGCTAACAGATTTTATACCCATTTTCCACTAGCCACTGGCCTTGGCGCAAGTTATTGGGGAATCGAGCTTTCAGTTTTTCTAACCCATAATGTTATGGCAAGCCTTACCCTTGGAAATGCAGGTAGAAACACTACTTTTCTTCTGGGGCGTGGATCAGGTAAGGCTCTCGGGGCCTTTGTTTATTCCAGCCTGCGAGACAGAATTAAAACCTTGGCAGAATGAAGACTTCGGTTGATTTTACTTTTTCACATAATTCGTCCAGCCTTCTTTTTTTTTCTTTAAGGGCAGTGGTAATGCCCTTAAAAACCACATTTTAATCACTTAAAATTATGAGAAACACTAACAGAAGTCATTCATTTTTGAAGCTGAAAAAAAAAAAAATCACTGATTTTCCCAACATATTCTGATTCAAGTCAATAACGAACCTAAGGAAAAGAAAAAATCTATAGCTTTGACTCTAGTAACACCGTGGCTCTCTGACGGGCTCTGCGCAACGCGGAAAATGATGCGCCCGTGGAGCCGCGCCGATTCCCAGGAGGCTGCTGTGGGTTTGCACCAGGACCCTGCGGGTCCGCACACAGCGGAGGGTGCGAGTCGGGGCCTCGGCACCTCTTGGTAGAAAGTAGCGAATAAAAATCGGGTTCTCTGTCAGGGTGAGCCGCCGTTCCCAGCGCGAGCTGTGTGGGTACGATACGCCTTCTGCCGCGGAGAGACCTCTCCGTTGCCCTCTGTGTACATCTCCGTGCTCTTTACTCCTCCTGCTAACTGAGCTTCACCGGGCTGCGGCTTACCGCTTCACTTCATACGCTGCTCCTTTCCTCTCTCGATAATCTTTACCCTTTTGCTCCTCTGGTGCCATTTTTCTTTTTATTGTTTTATGACTTTCTTGTTGTCTTCCTGTCAGTGTTTCTTTCCTTTCTGTCTCCCATGCCCTTCACTTGCAGAAAGTGATCTTTCCGAGACAGGACGATGTGCTCATCTCCTTCCTGCCTCTGGCTCACATGTTTGAAAGAGTTATACAGGTAAGAAACCTGCCTGAACTGACGAGGCCTCGTGGGGCTCCTTGTGTTTTCTTCCAGAGTCAGTGGTCTCCTACTTGTGAGGATGTACACATTTCCTATTTGCCTTTAGCACACATGTTTGAGAGAATGGTACAGGTAAGGTCCTAGTGTCAGTGGAAACCATCTTTTTCCACGCCAAAAAAAATATGAAGTGAATAAAATGCTAAATAACCGGCAATATCTTGTAGCACTAAAAAAGCTTGTACTCCAGAAGTGCCAGATGCATAACCCCAGGGCCGGCCTCTGGTCTCGGTGACACGGCCAGGAGTCCAGAGTGATTCCAGGAGAATTTCCCAAGCTCTCCAGCTTACACCGGTGGCTCCGAGATTGGAAAAAGGCTCTTCGCCAACGAGCAGAAAGCGCACAATTTTGGGGATGGCTTTTCAAAGCACTCTGGGGTCAGGTATCACAGGAGTAAAAATAATTCCGTGCCATTTTCTACGTCAGCTAAAATCCTTTTAATGCCTTAATAACCAGATCTGCAAAAAAACTTGCAGATACTTAAAAAGAGGCAACTAAGATCACGGTGTGACGCACGTGATCCTCCTGGCAGGGCAGCACACGGTGGGCTCGACTGGAAGCCAGCGTCCCCTGGAAATAATGGCAAATAGAAAGCAAAAACCTACAAACTGGAAGTGAAAGTCCATGAAAGATTTGGGGAATTACGGCCCAGCCTATTTACTTGTAACTCTAGTTTTAAAAGGCAGGTTGTTCCGTATGGCACCACTATTCAGGCAATCTGCTTTGCCAGCAAACAAGAATATAATTATTAAAAAGTCATCTGATGGGGGGGAAAAAAAATGCAAAACATTTGTAATAAGCTCATTTCACAGGATGCTGCCATATTGAAAGGGGCAGGCCTCCAAAGAATGGTCAGGTTTATCCTCTCTGCTAAAAAAGCTCATTAATAGAAAGATTTTTTCAAAATGGCTAAAAAATAATTTTAAAAATTATTCTGAACAGCAAGTGCTGTCTCAGCTTCCCTAGTTTTAGCCAACATTATCAGTTCCTGGAACTTACAGTTAAAATTATACAGATGCATTCTTTAAAGCTAAAAATTTCTAGTAGGTATTTGTAATTCCCAGTGAGCACATTGATTATATTTGCCTTGGTTTTTAATTCACGTGCATGTGCAGCGTCAGGCGCAGATTTGGCAGTGCGGTATTTGTTAAACCCACATCATCACAGGTTTAAAATCCCGGTGGTTTCGGTCGATGGAGACAGCCTGCGACTGGCTGACAACGCAGGGAGAGCGCTCTGGTTAGCGTTACAGAGCTTTAGGAGTAGCACAAAAAGACTCTGGCAACTTCTGGATCTGTAGTTGCCAGACAAGTAAAGCACCTTTTATGAAGTGGGCTTCTGTTTCTGGGATACAGGATCAGGCACTGTATTGCTAACTTAGTCTATATTGTTGTTTTAAAATGAAACTAAAGTATTAACATCTAAAAAAAAATCGGCTGCCGCTCAGTATGTTTTACAGTATTTCTTAATATGCATAATTTCTTTATCGACGATGGGTCCTCATGCTGTAAGCTGCTATGGTAGGTCTGGGCTTTGGAGGAGAAGTTCAGATCCAGAACCTGACCATGACTCAGGCTTCTCCATCCCCGTACGCAGGGGCTGAAGGGAAATCCCTTCTAAAAGCTTTGGTTCCTTGTTCTTCCGAAAACAGTGGCAAATTCGGTGGACGCCGAATTGCCAGTTCTGATAAGTGCTCAGAACTATCTGTATCTTTCTATTCAGTGCAAAATTTATGTTTACATTTACATATAACTCTAAAGCCCCACTTTCGCCTTACTGGGAGTAGCATTTCAGGACAGGCACCTCTGCGCTCGGGAGGGATGCTCTGCCGCGGGACCGCAAAGCAAAGAGCTGACACGTGTTCCTGTTCCTTCCCGTCAGTCTGTCGTATACTGCCACGGAGGGCGAATTGGGTTCTTTCAAGGAGATATTCGTCTCTTATCTGAAGATATGAAAGCGTTGCGTCCAACCATCTTCCCCGTCGTGCCGCGGCTGTTAAACAGGATGTATGACAAGGTGAGTTTAATTTTACTTTTTTTGTAATAATAAAGTTTATGTCCCCTTATACGTACGTGAAAGCATCCCTTAGTCATGGTGATTTCCTGAGCAGATTATATGGTTTCTGCCTTACTACAAACGCCTTCTTATCCTGTGTAACTGATACAGCTGCTCCAATCTGTAAGTCTCTAGTAGGTCGATTTACAGACTGCAGACGTGGTTATTGCGTGTTAATATGAAATCCCTCTGCATTAGCCTCTTGCTCCGTTCTCACCGAGGTTACTAGTGACGTTTCCAGAGACGAGGGCTTTTTTTCATCAGAGAAACACCAGTCAAACCTGGATGCAGTAGGACTTTTTGTGCCCTTCAACCAGTTTTGGAACTTGAATCTCTTTTTTCCGGCAATGACAGCTCAGAATCAGGAACTGCAAAAAGACTACGAGGGTTTAGGCAGTGTAAATGTGAGGTTGGCTTTTGGATCTAGAAATCTGTAAAACTAAGAGATGGTCTTGAAGGTATTTCAGACAGACATGTCTGGTCATCATGTGAAATCTGTTTGACCAGCTGGGAATACTTATTCCTCAAAAGACTTATCCTCTAAAGATGAGTTTAAGCACAAGCTACTGACTTCATTTTTCCCCAAGGTCAGGACTGCTGGATCAGGGGTTCTGGTGCCTCATTAGAGGGATGGGCACTGGGGGGTTCTCATTTGTAGGGATGTAGTTCATCCCGGTGCCTGATTAAGCTTAGGGAAATGCAGCCCCCATCACCTCGCCAGCCAGCGCTGTTACCTGCTCTAGCTGCCAAGTAGTCAAGTTGCTCATTCCTAGTTGCTCAGATTTCATGATTCCACTGAATCCTATCGTAGAAATCTTATAGAAATAGCAGTCAAGTAAATCTAGTCAAAGTCTACACTGTCATCCTCTCTCTTTTTTCTCCCAAAGGAACAACATGTACAGTAGCAAATGGAGTGACTCCTCTTTTTCTTCTTTTTTTCCCCCAACAAAAAAGCCATAGTGTAGTCTTATTTAACTGTACTGCTAATGTAACGATACCCTACCTGTAATCGTAAGAACAGCTGTTGATGTTTTCCCTCCCTCGGGTGCCGTGCTGCCTGCCACCCCGCACTCCCGCAGATCTTCAGCCAGGCAGACACGTCCCTCAAGCGCTGGATTCTGGAATTTGCTGCGAAACGGAAAAAGGCTGAAGTTCGAAACGGGATCATTAGAAATGACAGCTTATGGGATAAACTTTTCTTTAACAAAATACAGGTAAGGAATTTAAGAAGTGAGTCTAAAGTCAAAGAAGTGTCATTTCTTCCAGCAATGGCTAGTTTTCCTTAAAGTCAGCGTGATCCGCTTGCCTGATGATGAACTGCGGGCAATTGCTACTCACTGGTCAGCAGCAGACTGAAAACTTGAATAGACAAAGGAAAGGGAGCACAGTTTGTTGGTTGTTGTTGTTAACTTTTGCGTTAACTTTTTCTACATTTATTTTTATTTATGTATTTATTTTTAAACACCACGCATAAGATCCCATAATTTCACTTCCATTAGGGATAGTTTTCCAGAGGGGAAGGGAGAAATGCAGGAGACCTCCTGCCCGGCACCCGGGCTGCTGTTGGGGCAGCTTGTGCCTGCTGCTTGTGGCTGCTTCGTTATTTGGGTGCTCTGCCTTGCGGGGACCGGGCACCCGCCGCGGGCTCTGCCTGTGCTCCGCGGATAAATGGTTTCTCCTCGCTCAAGCCCAGCAGCAGGCGGGGGAGAGGATTGCGTTAAACCCACTCCTGTGTCCTCCCAGCAGGGGTGAAACTCAGGAAGGTGGTCATGAAAAGAGGAGTATGATCAAAGAGACGTTGCTCCCAAGTCTTCTGCAAGTTCTCCACAGACATGATTGGATTTAGGGTCGGGTTTCAACTGGGCGTATTCAAAACTGGCTTTTTTCCTAGGAAAACAAGAATAAGGCTGTAGAGAAAAATGCACAAGTAAATCACGACTTAACAGCAGGGGAAAGAAATCAGAATGCCCTGCTGTGTGCCACACATCTCCTCAGGAAAAAAAAGATTAAATTGGCTTTAAACCAGGTTTTCCAGGCGCTGTACTACTCCAGGAGGCTCGGATTTCTTAATTTTTTTAATTGGATAACTTATCTGGAGACATGCCACTTTTTATTTTTAACTAAAGAAACTGACTGTACTTCTCATCTGCGGATTAGTTGTCCTCAGTGTGCAAAGCTAGCAGAGTTCACACGATGCCGACGGGAGCGCAGACATGAGGCAAGACGGGCTGCATATTGATTCAGGATCTGGCGAGACTGGCAGACTCAATCAGGAGTTGTTTTCTTTTGTTCTGGGATTTCTTTTTACTTTTGGAATAAGAAAAAGGAAATGAAGAAGGGCCAAAAAGAAGTAAAGCGTGCCCCAGGGATTGCTGTAATACCCTCCAGAAATACGTGAAGGTCATCTGCCTTAAAAAAGGGACTGCCTTATCTTAGGTGGCTTGGGAGCCAATTCATTAAAAACGACGAGGCGCAAATAAGCGAAGAAAACCAGAGGAGGGAAGAGTCTGGTTTTTACCCAACAGCTGCCGGG